GTATGGAAGACTTTGAACTGTTTTGGGATAACAAGCTGGTGAGCAGCCTTGGGAAGTTTGGTTTGCTGCGGTTGTAAAACCAATCCTGACAAATACTACGAAAGATCAGTGGTTTGAAACGGCGATTGTAATAATTGTTCATTCGTATTTTCCGGTTCTTCTACCCGTTTATTCAGCACCGGAAAATTCCATTTATATTTCCTGCTCAACAGGAAAACAAATACGATACATACGATCACAAAGACGATCAGGTCATGGGCCGGATCTATCTTATGCTGTACAAATAATGCATTGGTTTGCAACGCCGATGCTTTGAAGGTAAGCATGAGGCAGGCAAAAAGATTATTCACCGCATGGGCACCCATGGTACTTTCTATGCCATCGTCCAGGATGGTGATGATGCCAAACACGATGCCAAATAGTATATATTGAGGCAGGGTCAATAGTAATCCATATTCAGAGACCTCGGGGTTAGCTATATGTATCAGACCAAAAAGAACACCAGGAATTAATACCGCCAGCCAGCGACTCCGGGTCCATGCGGCCACACCCTGTGTGAGGTAACCTCTGAACAGGATCTCTTCATAGCTGGTTTGTAAGGGGATTAAAATAACAGAGATCAGTACCAGCGGAATAAATGCAGCGGCGTTGAAGTTGAAGGTATAGTTGGATGGGTTTCTGAAATATTCAATCCCGAATACGGCCAAGAGCAAACCGCCCCAAAGCAGGAAAGAAAAGAAAAACCGGGACCACCGGAAATGTTTCGTGCCATTGATCACTTCTTTTAACGTGCGTTTGTGCAGGGGCTTGAACAACAGTACCGTAATGATCAGGCTGGTCACAAAGGGCAGTAACATTAAGATCAGGCTGACATTGGAAGAGATGCCATATTGAGAGAGGTCGGTCAGGTTTTCAGCATTAAAGTTGGCCATGCCGCTCTGTGTTACTTTAGTGGCAATGACCATAATCAATGGGATGGCTCCGAGTATCTGTCCGCCTAAAAAGCCGGCAAGAATAATCAACAGGTATTTCCAGCCCTGGTTCTGGTGATCGAGTGCTCTTTCTAGGTGTTTCATAAATGCGTTGTAGGCTGCAAGTATAATGTTTTTTGCAGACCGGTAAATAATACCACTCAAACAACAGAATGCACCATTCTGCCATAAGGGAGTGAAGTACATTTGTGATATGATACAAAGGGCAAAAAATACCATTCCTGTTATTGATATCTGTAGTCTGAATGGTGCAGATCACCGGCGGGATGATATTGTTGCGGAGCCTTTTGCAAAGTACCTGGATATTCATCCGAATCTTTACCGCGCGCATCGCCATACTTTTTACCATATGGTATTATTTACAAAAGGGGGTGGCAGTCATACCGTCGATTTTGAGC